TTAATCTGACATTTGATTTCTCCTAACAGAATTGTGCACACTGTTTTCAAACCTGCCCCAGTCTGTTTGCTGTTACTCTGAAATCAGGTCTCCATCCATCCATTTTCTAACTGCTTAATCCAATACAGGAACATTGTGGAGCTTGGAGCCTACCCTGGCAAACAACAGGTTTAACGAAAATACACCCTGGAAGGGACACTACAGATACACACCCATTAGGGCCACTTTCCCAAGAAGCCAGTATGTCTTCGGACTGTTGGATGAAACTGGAGAACACTCTAGAAACCCACACAACTGTGGGGAGAACATACAAACTCCTTAAATCAGGACTAAAACTCAATATCCTCAAGGCATAACATAAAACGTCTTATGAATGTTAATCGAAAAAGTTTGACATAAAGGGTTTTGGCTTAACCTCCTTGGCTGAGGGCCAAACACCTGGCAGTGTGAACAGGAAGTCAGGACCTCCTGCAGAGTGAGGAGTTAACCACAGGGCAGCTGCAGAGGTGGAGATAGGATAGAGGAGGAATGCAAAAGAATGTGAGCTCCTTACTGTGATTTTTGTAGCATTTTGGGATTCAACATCATAGAGGATTACAACTAAGATCAGCGAAGATGATGGGGAATTTGGAGGTCACAAACTCCATTAGCAGATGAACACTTTAATCCAGGGATGCCCAACCTTTTTAAATGTAAGAGCTACTTTTTCATTTGCCAGTCCAGCGCGATCTACCACTGTGAATTTGAAGCTCCGATATACGGAAAACAGACTGTGGGCACATCAGTACAACAATGATACCCATCACTAAAATGACAGCAAATAAAAGCAAGTGACTCATGTTTCAGTGAACAAGTGACGTTCCCCATTTTAGAAAAAAGAATATCCCACCTTAATGCGAGCATTGGCACTGAGAAGCTTACTTGAGAACACTTATAATTTTGGGGGGAACGTGTTGACGCTGCTGATCATGTCGATGACACTTTGATTTTGTCCCTGCAGCTCGGCGTTCAGCAACTCCTTGATTTCAGGCAACAGCTGTCTGAAATGTTTGTTTTTGAAATCTCCAAACAGCGAGTCAGCAGCCAAAGCAAATGCTTTTATTACTTCTCGATCCCTGAATGACATTTTGTGTTTAGCCAGGACGTGGCTCACACGGAAACGATGCGATGATTGCCGCTTTCCCTCTCGTATTGGGCCTCGTGAAAACCGACTGCTGCTGGTTGAGATTTTAATTTTTCCACTTTTCTTTTCCTTAACTCACTTTTAGCGGGAAAGTCCACAACATACGTTTTGTGTGCAGTACAAAAAAATAATGCTCCCATTCCTTGTGGTGACGGTAAGTTTTCGGACTCTTTGCTTCATCATTTTTGCTCAAACACTACAACTATCAAAAAGGCAATCAAACTTATCAAACTGTTGCCTAATTTGTCACAGCCAGTCTGCTTCCCTCCACTATGCACTGTAGCGAACGTGGGGTTCGTGTGGAAATAACCAAGAGAAAGTAATTTGGTAGCAAACTATTTATGGAGCTCCTATAGCCTTTTTTTCAGCACCAGCCAGCACTTAGGGAACAGACTTTTACAACCCATTTGACAAGGGTTAAACACACACAAGGGCAGTAAAATGTATGACATTACATGCATAGATCTGAATGAAGTTTTAGGCCATCACAAAAAGTAAAAGTAAAAGTAGTCAAATAGCCCATTTATTTTTTACCAAACATCGACTGTTTCGATCAACAGGTCGCGCACCTCTGCTTTAATCCCTTAATTCATACTGTATGACTCAGAACTAAGCAACAACAAAAAGTCCAAATTTATTTTGTGTTGAATACATTCATACAGTGATATATATTAGTCCTGACGATTTGTAATGTGTGCTAGAAAAGGCTGGCCTAACTACATATTTGCATTACATGGGCACTATTTAATTAAAAGGTAAAGTGAAAACAACCTTGTTAGGAATATATACTGGTCACAGATGTTCAATAAGTGGAAACATATAAGCTAATGCATTTTGCAACAGTATACACACTCTTAGATATGGAAATGAAAGAATGGTATTTATTCACTCACAACCTCAAGTATCACATCCGTCTCTCAGCAGCTGTATTGAAAAAAGAATTCCTTATACTTACAGTACATAGCACTTTCCTGGACACTCCACTCAAAGTGTTTTACAGGGAATGGGGATTCCCCTCCACCACCACCAATGAGCAGCCCCACCTGGATGATGCGACAGCAGCCATAGTGTGCCAGAACGCTCACCACACACCAGCTATCAGTGGGGAGGAGAACAGAGTGATCAAGCCAATTCGTAGATGAAGATTATGAGGAGGCCATGGTTGGTAAAGGCCAGAGGAAAATTTGGCCAGGACACAGGGGTTACACCTCTACGCTTTTCGAGAAACGCCCTGGGATTTCTAAAGGATGGCGTATTTTTACAGCATAGTCTCCTTGTTACTATACTGGGGCATTAGGGCCCACCCAGACCACAGGGTGAGCGCCCCCTGCTGGTCCCACTTAACACCTCTACAACCTTAGTTTTTCCCAGGAGGTCTCCATCCAGGCACTGGCTAGCTCCAGTGGGCTGCCAGTTGTGAGTTGCAGGGTGATATAGATGCTGGCAAAAAAGTTTGCAGAATTCCAGCAGGAGTAATTAATGGTCTCCTGTTGGCAAGTTTTAATTGTACACTTCATTGTTAATCCTGTTTAAGGACAAAGACTTACTGACAGGATGTCTGCATGAAATCTAGTTCCTGGTGAGCAACCCAGTCAGATATTTGGGAGATGTCAGGTCTTCTTGCCCTCACAATAATTCTGAATGATATGTCTAGTGCTGGAACACAATATTCAATCATTTCTTTTCTTATTCTAGCCCATAGTCTAGACACAACGCACTTTCAAAGCATAATTTGAATTCACATCAATCATCCTTATTTGCAAAAGTGTAAGATCACACATTAGGTATGGAAAAAAGAGAGTACTGTAAATTGAATGAATTGTGAATTGCTTTCTTGGATTTATTTAATTAATAAATTCTGATTAACACAAGGTGACTATGCTGTACATGCTGCGATAAAATACATTTTGGTTATCTCACCCAATTTTAGTAGAACTGGTTTGCCAATGAACAAAAAAAGGTGTGCTGAATTAACTGCATAATGATTTTTCTCTTAGCAGTGTTTTTTTAAAACAAAAAACAAAAATTCTCATATAAAAAAAAACACAGAGAGTTATAGAAAAAAAAAAACACACACAAAAAACACACAGAGAAAACACAGAGAAAAACACATAGTACAAATATCTGAAATATAAAAAGAAATATCAGAGCTATGTGCAATAAAATACTCTATTGACAAATTAGCATATAACAAGAACTGTCTGAGATATTTATAAAAGTAACCTTTTTAACCTTCTTTCCTCCTAGAAATACACCACTCACAGTAAGAGAGACTGCCCAGCAATCTCCAGAGAGCCCAGTACAACAGGGCGAGAGTCCCAGTATCCTGAGGTGACACTTTAATCTCGCCCTGTTCATTGCACTTTGATGAAGACCGAAGGCGAGTTCTCCTGTTTGATGGAGTTGAGATGGCGGTTGACTTCGCTGGCTTCTGCCGACAGTTTCTCCTGCAGCTTCCTGTTGTCCTGCGCCATGCGCCGGCTGTCCTTGCGCGCCCGCCGCAGCGACCTCTTGACCTTCCTGACCCGATCCCGCAACTGCCTGTTGCGCTTCTCCAAAAGCTGCACCTTCTCCTGCAGCTTCTTGACGCGATCCTCCTCCTCGAAGAGCGCCATCTGTACTGAGGAGCACAAGAGCTGCAGGAGAGAGGAAGAGAGAGGAAGCGTCAGCCCACGACACAATCTGCCCAGGGCTACTAGTCACAACCATCTATCCATCTATCCATCCATTTTCTAATTACTGTACTTCATCCACTTCAGGGTAGCAGGGGAGCTGGAGCCTATCCCAGCAAGCAACACCATGGACAGGACAATAGTCCATCACAGGGCACACACTGACACAAACACTCACACCAGGGCCAGTTTTCCCAGAAGCCAAGTAACCTACAAGTATATCTTTGAACAGAGACTCCCTCACCAGGAACCCGCATTGCCCCCGGGACAAAGCGCTATGGGGCAGAACGGACAAAACTTTTCAACTCCTGGGAGCGGGAGAGGTGCTCAGTTACCAGTGCATCCAGCTGGGGCTGGCACCAATTGGATTTGATAAAGGGACACAGTACTTGCTTTGGCTGCTGGTGTCCCTGATAAAACACGAACTGTTGGACACAAGGAACACTCTCATCCAGCACAACGCAGAGTGGGGAGCGAGAGAGCTGGAGGAGAGGATCCTTGCGGACCTCAGAAGGAGGATGAAGCGCAATGTCGCCAAATGGGGCCACTTGCCAAATGGGGAGCGCTGGACAAAAGGCAAGTGTAAGGGCTTGGAGGGACTCTTTAATTGAGCAAATCCGGTCCCCTCATCCACTTGCACTGATTGAAAATGGACAATCACGGCTTTCAGAAAGTTTTTATTTCATGGTAGTTTCATAAGGTGTTAGCACGTGTATGGATTGTGAGAATGTTTACTATTTTGAGATGTTTTTCTTTGAAATAAAGTTTATTTTGATAGAAAAAATATATATTTGAACTGTGGGAGGAAACTGGAGCACCCAGAGGAAACGCACATGAACACAGGGAAAACATAAGAACTCTACGCAGATAGCACCCCAGCAATTGAACCCAGGGCCCCAGCGCTGCAAGGCAGCAGTGTTAACAACTGGGACACGGTGCCGCCCTATAGTGAGAACCATTACTCATTAAACTTATCATATTACAAGTAAAAAGATAGCATACACACAAAAGCCACTCACTATGACTACCAATAAATCAGATTTTACACCAGTGTTTCAGGGGAATTTTAAAATATTTCATTTAAAAAGTACCCTTCATTAAATTAAGCCAGTAGCTTACCAGCTTTAATGACACAGGCACTTATTTTGCTGTGTATATCCTATATGTCTTTTTCTAGTCATTGATTTGTTGTGTCATCTACTATTTCCCACCATTTCATAACAAATACACAAGCGAATTACTAGGCATTACTGTGCAGTTGCATCCCTGGCTCTTTGTACAGTATGTAAAATGTACACATTGCAATGGAAGATGGGTCTATTAGCACAACCTCAATTTTCCATCTGCTGTTTTTAAAGGTGCCTCAGTAGATTCTGGCTACAGAATCAGCAGCCTGCAGATGTTTTGTATGATCTTTAGAAGTATGTTTAAAATAAACTTTGCAAGAGAAGATCTTTGAAAAAAAAACATTCATCAACACATTACCTTTTCCTTTCCCCAAACATTGTGCTCTTAATATGACAACTAATAAAGAAAATATCTGATACCCTTTATTCACAGGAAAAAGTACATCTGTCTATATGTCTTCCATTACAGCTGAGACAGTTGGCATACAGACTGAGATCCATTCTAGCCAAGTATTTAGTCTGGGAATCAAATTATGATCATCTTTCAATGCTAAGAGTAAATTTTGAAACACAACCTTGCTTAAAATGTTTCAATGTCTTCTGAAGATGAAAGAAAGTAATGCAGTATAACAAAACACAATTCCCCTAAAGTCTGAGTGAGACACTTGTTGCCATGAAGCGTTCAAGCTTACCTTGGGTATTCCTTGTGCAAAAAGAGGACATTTTAGAGCTTACATTGGTGTACCTTATTTTAAAAGCCAGTCCTTTACTCCACCACCACCCCATCATCAGAGTTAGGAACATTCTCTTACTGAGATTTAAAATTGTGAGAGACACTAGATCATTCAAGAAGGAGATCCTCTTTAAAAGCTGAAGGGGAGATGACACCAGTCCCAGTACAGCATACTGGGATGTGAAGTATATGATCATCACTTCTCAAGAGTACACAGACAACAGAGTCAAGTGGCAGCTCAGCAAATCAGGTACGGAGCCTTTACTGGGTTTTCACTGGATTGCCACTGCTGCCCACCTACAAAGTGCACAGCTTATACTCTTCTTGTCTTCTTCATTGTGCATTTCATTTTTTTCTCATTTGGCATTTGCTCTCACCAGAAAGAGTCCTTACTGTGCTACATGGCTCCATTTTTCTTACATCTGCTTCAATGCTTCCAATCACTCCAGCTCATTTGAATGCGAAACCAAACCAAACATTTTTAAAAATCCCCATCGTTGCCTTCTTTCAAGTCTACCACAAGTCCTTCTGACAATGATGGCCAATTACGTATGTCCCTATCCTTCTCCTCCGGGTCCCCTTCTCTCCTGCCAAACTGCTGGACCCTGAGGTATCATGGAGCCGGCTTTTCTCACCCCAGCTTGAAGAAGCACATCTTTGAATTCTACCTCTCCTAGCCTCATGGAAATCAATCAGTTCACTGGAGTTCCCTTGATACTGCTCAATACTGACTTCTGTGCACCTCCTCATCAGGTTTGGCTGCCTTAAGACATTTTCATCATCACTCCATCATCACTCCTTCGGCTTTTATTCGACAAGAACCTTTTCTGTTACTTCACAACACTGTGAACTATGAACATCATCTCTCAATGTCACTTATCTTCTCGACTCCTTAATGAGAAGCGAGGAACTCCATACCAATGCAAGGAATGAGTGAAAGAAGAGATCAGAGCTGAAACTGCCTTAGTTAACACTTTGAAGAAGATGTGTAGGGAACCCCTTGTACATGGTAGTAGAAATAGGGCTTTTTGAAAGGAGTGCCTGTAAAGAATGATTTAAGGTCATGAATGAGTGGAAAGCTTGATGTGTGAAACTCGGAAGAAGTGAACCATGAAGGTGACACAGCTGTCAGAGGAAGAGATGCAGGAGAAAAGATGTAGACCTGGCTTGGAGGTCCTGAATTTCTGAAAAAAGAGGAGAACCCGTGAACACTACCTAATAAGAACAAGGGTGCAGACAAAACCCAGATGAGTTTTCTGTGATGGTTCATGATCATTTGAAAGACTTTAAAATATGTACTAAGGATATATGACTGAATGGATGAGAATGTATTTAAGTGGAACCCCAAAGAAGATGGGCAATGAATTTTTTTATTATAATATAGTTTTTCTGTACCTGCGTCCAAGCATTATGTTGTAGGTAATAGAGTAAACCATGGTGTATATGTTCACAGAAAGCTTCTTAACTTTTGTTTATTTTGTTGTAGAAATAAACTCTACTATTACTCATATGCAAAGACCTTTTTAATTTGAATTACCTCCCATTTGAATAACACAGTTCCGAACGAAAGCTGAAGCCTGAAGGTCTAAAGTGTATTCTGGAGTTCCCAAGAAAAAAGCGAAAGAAAACATTCATTCACAGAGCTCAGCCTTTCTTGTCAGGCAGGAAATGAACATGAGCAATCTCCAAGACATCTGTCTGATCTCAAAGCCATGGCTCCTCAGCACAGGCAGTTAATATCAGAGGTACCAGGACTCTCAAGACCTGCAGCTGCGGGCTCTTTGTCTTCAAGCAACAATCTATTTCCATCTTGTAAACTGATCCCCTTAATTGTAAATATGGAACAAAAAGGAGGTCTTGAGTCCTGCTTAGACCTTCACCAGTGCAAACTAATTCACAGCAGGCTTCCCACACAAAAGAGGAAAGCTAATAGTTAGATTGCAAGTGGAATGCCACAGTCACAGCAGATTATATCTTTGAGCCAGTTCACTGTTCACAGTGCGGACATAATGCAAAACCTGCCAGGCAGTGAAGTTTCATAGCGGATGAAATGAGCCCCTTCCTTTATGTTAAGGGCTTTGGAATCCTGCTGGGTAAAAAATGGCTACACAAAATACAAAAGGAATTACATGAACAATTGGAAAATTACAGCCTTTCCTTATGTGTCTGCTTCACAAATAATAATACAAAAATGCCAGGTCCTGCAGAGGAGTAGGTGTCAGCAAGGATTATGGGTTTTAAAAAAACAACACTTCACACATGAAGTATGAATAGGAAAAGATGTTTTCTTTATGCCATGATGTTATTTTAGTCTGGCCCAGGCCAAGGAATGGCAATAGGCACAAAGACATCCTTCCCTCTCCAATAAACACAGATTTTGTGCTTCTGACCTAATTTCCAGAGGATTGAAGTACACTGAAGCAACCTGATAATTAAACTAACCCTTTGGTTCCTAAGCCATGTAGCCTTAATCTTTATCTAGTGTGTGGACTGATCTGTTATCCCTCAGAAAGTGGGGACCTCAAATTACTTTGTGTATAATGTTATAAAATACAACAGAATTAACCATCCTACAAATATAATATGCACGTTTTTATACCTTCATTACCCTTTATTCTTGATCTTCAGTTTAGAAGCCTTCACAGCTTAACCAGCCATTATCAACAAATGTTTAAGACTGTGCATGTGTAATACACAGAACATTTCATGATTGTTTGAAAATTATACTTGTGCAATTCATAGAACTACCCACTGTCATTCAATCTCCATTTTAAATTAATAGATTGATATGGAATTAACTAAACAGAGACGAGCTGACAAATATTTGTCAACACAAAATGGAAATCAAGCAGGCTTCCGGCAGAATTAGGGGTTTAAAAGTACAGTTACTATTGTTCATGTTAAGCACTAATAATTAAAAAAAGTTATGTAATTAACACATTAATGAAGTGAAATCTCTCTTGGCACCTGCTAAAATACTCTAAGTATTGCTCTGTTAAGTCAATGGATGATCCCCTGATCAGAATCTCTAAAATGAGCTCTAAAACACCTCAATCAGGAAAAAAACAATCTTAAGTCCATCTGGCTATAACAAACATCCTTAG